AGCTACAGTGAATATTTTAACTGTGACCTGCCCCTGTTTTTCATGATACATCTGTATACTAAGCTTATAGTTTTATCAGAGGCTGCTGACTGTGGGGTACTAGACAACATATCATACCATAGCATCTTTTATATCCACCCATCTCTCAAGCAGTTTAACATAACATAAAAACGTCACCAAAAGGAGAAACCTTGCCAGTATTTCACAATGATGTCACATTCACTCCGCCAGCAAGCACTATGCACCGAAGTCATCTGAAACAGTAGGTTTGCTGGAGCGCACACATTCTCACATTGGTGCAGCTTCCTGCCCACACAGTGACCACCTGTTCTTACAGCAGGTCACTGCGAGGGTGGGATGGGCCATGTCTAACAGTCACATGAAGTTGCATGGCCCAAGAGGACCAATCAACTCCAGTGAAACAGTAGCGAACCTCTATGAATCATTCTAATATCAAACAGAAATTATACATAATAAAAACCAAGCTGTCATCTTCTACATACATGTTTCCTGCCACAACAGAGTCATGTTGAAACTGGTTGGAACTAAAGCATCATCTTGTGTCAATTTTCACAACGTTCACTTTAAATATCTTCAGTCAGACTTTCCTCTTGTCATCCACAATCTGGTATGGAAGTAAGAAAGGGACTGGTACCCTTTTTAAAATAAACTCAAAACAGGGATGAAGTTAACTGCTGGGCACAATGAAACACCAAGTCAAATTCATACAGTGAGTCAAAGCGCCCCTCATCTGCACATGCACAGGTCCGCTGAATATTGAAGTCACAGCCATGGACTCAGTACATGAATATTTAGTTGCTGAGCTCTTCCTGAAGGCACATTATCTAATATAAAATTGTGCCTGGAATGAAGACTGGTTCAGAACAAAATGGAACATGCTCCAAACCCGATGAGTACCGTTAGCAAGTCTGTATTCCCAATGTTCAGATTCCAGGTGGCACCTAATATATGCAGAAGTTGCGTCGTTATGGCATGGTCTGGACACAAAATCCCAATTGTAGTTATTCCAAAATATATCCATCACTTGGTGAAGAATAATAATGGAACTATTCGTTGTATTCTGGAAAAATGTAAAAACTCAGCCTGTGAGTTATTTAAATACTTATGCAGCCAATGAATTTAGTGTCTGAAAATACACACTGATGAAACATTAATTCCAGAACAGAATTCTGGTAAAGTTGAAATTAACATTAAATACTTTAAATGTTACCTACTTAAATGCAGATTAAATTTGAGTTCAGTTAATATAAATAGGTTGAAAGATATTTAATATACAATTAGAATAAGGAACAAATACCATACCAACAGAAAAAAGCTGTTACTGCAGTTAGTTGGGCATAGCATGGACTGTAGGAACTTCAAGCATATCAAACTTATATATAAAAAACACATCCTTTTTTAGGGTTAATGCCAATTGTGAATGAAATGACTGATTATGATAACAGCAGATTTCACTGCAATAAGTCAAATATTTTTATTTCAAAGATGCATAAACAATAGGAGCATACTGGATCATACCACCAGCTATTTTCAGAGTTCAATAGGCTATGACAAAGATTGTGAGAATGCAAAAATGGAATAAGATGGTTCATTACAGGGCCCAACATCCAGCCTTGAAATAGCAGTACCAAATCCTTGTATGTTTCAATACTTGTGAAAAAGCAAATAACACAGGACCTAGATGTTTACTGGGATCATAAATGAGATGAAGAAGACATCAGAAATAAAAATCATAAACATTAGTATTTCCTTGGTCAGATTAAATCTAAAATGACAACTACATTTTAAACTTCAACTCACGGTGGTGCAGATCTGACAGCGTGTCATTTTGTATAATTTTATTTCACGCCTAATAATAAAATGGAAAATGAAGAGAAACACCATAAAACTATAACATAATATAAAACATTTTTTGACTTGAGTGTGAAACAAATTCTCTTCAAATCAGGGCCATATATTATAAGAAACGGACTCCAATAGCACAGTGACAAATCAATATGGTTCAGGCACACACGTTCATACCAGGAGAAAACTAATACACGCTGGTATATCAGAGGGAAGTGGATGACAAGACCATTTACATTTATAAACAAAGGATTACCAATTTCAAATTATTTCATGCTATGCACGAAATAAGATGGAACCTGTACATGTAAAAAAATGTAAGCCATTTAAAATACACTTCATGTAAATACGTAAGAAGAAAGTATGATTGCATGCCCAAACTCTGTCCATTGCATCTGCAGTCACAAACAGAGACGTTCAATTCTGGCACAGAACTGTCAACTATATTTTTAGATCACATACAAGATAGAAATCTTACCACAATTTTGCATCATTTATGATCATAATAAACACTATTACACTACAGGTAATTATAGTAAACATTACTGCTGTTTTCTCTCATCCTGTTTTGCCCTCTTCACAGGTTAAAATTTCAAAAAAGAAAATCCAAACCTATCCGAACACAAAAATCCCAATCATTATGTATTCATCATTTTGTGCCATCCCTTCTTTTCATAACTTTAAATTGGCCTGAAATTACAAAATATCCATGCATGTATTATATCAAATTTGGTACAGAGAAACTTCAGGTAAGCAACTGAGAACAGCATGAGCCTAAAGAACATGTGAAAACAACATAACATGTTGTTTTCACATTTTGTTACTTACTATAATTATTAACACACATAACTTAAAGAATGGAAAAATTAAGCTGTACAATAATCTTCTGGTTCCTTCACCTTGGATATTTACTTAAATTTACCCATGTCATTGCGGAGTGCAAGTACAGCAGGCCCAATGATATGCCAAGTTTTATTTACCACAGCATATTCAAGGAGCCAGATGTACCTCTTACACTGGAGAGAACCAGTAAATGCAAAAAGGACAATGTCAACAAATAGAGGAAAGAACATCAGTAGTTTATCCATAGTAAAAAAGATAATAAATATGATATACCCAGAAGACAGAAATCTTCATACTCATCGCTCTGATGATGGAGGCAGTATGACCTCTGAAACGTTGGTGGAAATCTACCAGACTACATGGTACAATAACCCAGAAGACAGCAATCTTATGATATACATGTTACTCATAGCAGCAGCAAGTTGGGTTTTCCTTGACTCTAACTATATGGTCACTGCTGGTCACCTTTCAAGGAACTGCAGTTTAAGGGTATCCCCCCCCATTTCAGATCTGTAATGGAATATATTCTTACAGGCAGAAAGACTTAAAAAGAAAGAATGGTTAACCTTAACAATTTGACACATTTTGAATAAGGTTACCTATAAAATACAGCTAGCCTTTTGCCTGTTGTGCACAGAATAGTAAGCTGTTCTTTGCAAACCAACATTGTCCTGCACAGAGCTCCAAGACATCACCAAATATTAAGCACCTATCCAGTAACAGAAGCCTACTAAAAGTGGCATTTAATAAACACCCTTTTATCTCACATCTTCTCACTAAACCTGCTGTGTAGTATGTACACAGAATGGCAGTCACTCCTTAAAAGAGTTACAAAACTGTCATATTTGTGAATATCACTACGCTGTTAAAGTATGAGATTTGAGGTACTCATGGCAGTACAAATGTCCCTGGTAGTCTTCTGGATTGTGGCATCAAGTGGACTTGCAGGTGAGTACAAATGTACAAGTCCAGACGGTGTAACAACCCAGAAGACCAACAAAGGCATACTTCAATAATATTGAAAAGATTACAGACCTTGTCTTGAAACACAAACAGTATGTTTCTTTGTATGGAACAATGTGTCCTATTGCAACTCTTTTATCTGAAGTGTAGCAAAACAGTGCCAAAGGATAAGTTACCAGGTACATATGGTCAAGATACAAAGATGACTAACTTATGTTTTATTTTAAAACGCTACAGCATTTTGTTTTACAAATACTATTGATTCTTGGGTTATTTAATAATAGTGTTGCAGTGGCAGAAGTTTGGTAACTTTAAATTAAAAGTTTGTGGTATTCCTTGGTCAAATGAATTCGTATTAAAATAGCTGAGAATACTACATTTTTTTCATATTCAAAATTATAATACCAACCGACTAGATGGTGTAAGACAAAGTATACACATTCCATGAATCCTATCAAAGTATGATGCGGAACAAATAAAGGTTCAGTACACACATTAAACTTAACGTGTCGGACTTATATACAGATATTGGAACAACAACAAAATGCTGGCATATAAATCCTGTTCTGAGACTCCAAAAAATAGCAACCCTACTATTACTACTGTAGTCAGGATAACACTGCATTCCCAATGACCATTTAAAGTAAGGAAGCTGTCCACACCTTAAACACTGTTTCCCAGCGGCAATACCTTGTAGCTCACCGCCTCATTTCCTGTGTTGATGTCTTTGGTTTACAAAGTATGTGCGTCCCCCCCCCCCCATCCACAAGCTAGTGACATAGGCAAAGCATACAGTTTAGACCCAGGAACAGTACTACTTACTACTTTCTTTCAGTGCAGTACAGAGATGGAACCAGGCTTAAAGAACAAGACAAAAGTCACCTATTTTTAAACAGATCAACAGAGCCATCA